GAGAGAGAAGTAGGACAAGTTCCAGCTGGGGTGGGCAGAAAATAGGCCTGCCCCCCCCCCAAAGGGGGGAATTCTGGTCCCCAAACCAGTTTCAGCCTGAAAAGAAAGCTGTACTGAGGCAGAACCCAAGATAGAAGCCCAGGGACAAGGGAGGGGACCATTAGGAGCACATCTCCCGCTCACAGGGCAGAACACAGCCTACAAAATCACCAGCCAGGAACCATAGTTGGCCAGCAGCAGGTACTCTCAACAGACTGTATCCAAATGACACCAAGCCTCAGACTTAAACACTCTTCCATGAAGAGAATGGCTATGTTAACAGACCAGAAAGGCCTTGGAGGCTCCTGACCCCTGGTTCTTGAATGGACAACTGGAGGCCTATGAGGCCCTAACAACAGTCTACAAACTCCAACCAAATGTACACCTTTCCTGAGAAAGCCTGTGACCTTTGGCAGATTTATCTGAAAAGCCTTGACTCCAAAAACATTAAGAACTACTGTCCTGCAACAAGAAAGAATGGAGAAGAAAAATATAAAGGCAGAGGGTCAAGGAAAGAGATCAGAGAAAAGCAGGCGGGAGGTGACAAACGGTCAGAGGATGAAGAACAGGGACTAGGGCAGGGAGGAGTGGGAAAGATGTGGACAAGTGCTCTCCCTAGGCCAGCACACTGTCACTCAGTGTCCCCTCCTGGAAGTTATTGATGCAGACACCAAAAGTAGGCTCACAGGGCAGAATGGAGGCCAGGCCAGGTGCTCCAACTAGACAGGCAGCACCTTATCCTTGGTCTAGGCTACCTCAACACTGCCACTCTTCCCTTCACCTTCTGGTTCTGCCATCTGCATGCCAGCAGACAGCAGCAAGCAGAAGCCTGTCGACCTTAGGTGCTCTTGATCTAAGATAGTTTAAGATGAGCAGTGGCTCCTGGTCTTCCAAGGTTAAGGACCACTGCCACCCGAGGCTGAACTTCTATTTCAGCTATAAAAGTCAAAGCCCAGTGGGAGGAAGAGACCTGAGTCCCCACAGGTAACTGGAGCTGCCTACATTCTTCTACATAACCCAGAAACTTGTCACCAAACCCACATGCCAAAGCATTAGGCACTGAATGGAGAAAGTGCCTTACCTTGGTACGCCCATTGATGATGTAGTTGCCCAGACGCCCTGCACAGTGGCGAATTACTGAGTCCACATGGGCCATGAGGGCACCGATGCTCCGGCAGCCTGGCTCGTGGCCTTCTACCCAGGCAATCTGGTCCCCACGAATGCTGCGTGGTGGGATCGCCCGCTGGCTCACTAGCTGCCCATCTCGCAGACGCCCGCCCCACTTCAGTGCTTCCACCTCAGCCAGCACACGGCCACCCAGTGTTGCCCCCAAGAAGTTGTCCTTGACGCAGATACCATAGTACCGCATGCAAGGCACAATATAGTCCAGGGCCAGGCGCTCAGGTGCAGAGGGCTGGGCTTCCTCCCTCAGCCTAGCACTCGCCTCGCCGCTGCTGCTGCTGCTGCTGCCACCGCTGTCACAGCCCACACCACTTTCCCCCTTGGCCTCCTGGTTCTCTTGCCTGGCCCACAGTCGCTTGCTGGGTGAAGGGGCATCCCCGCCATCCTTGGCCCACTTCCGCTTGGGGGCCTCAGGCCGGGCACCTTGGGCCGCCAGTCGCTGGCACTCCTTGGTGACCAGCGCAGCGGCGCCTTCACTCTGCAGTGGCCATAGCTCACCACCATCCTGCCCACCAAAGCCCTCCCGCAGGGGACTGGCAGTGGTAGTGGTAGCAGTGGCTGTGGTTCTGGGGGTCCCATTGCCAGCCGAGGCCTCACCAGATGCTCCTGGACGGTGGTAGGAGGGTAGCAGAGGGCAGGGCAGGTAACTCTCCACCCCCATTCTGGCTCGGCTAGCTTGTTCCAAGGACTCTGACACAGACCCTGGCAACTGAGAGAGAGCCTGATTCAGGGCCTGCGGCTGGCACGGGCTGTCCATGGCAGCAGTGTCTTCATCCCCCGGGCATGGAGGGCACGGCCCGGGCCCATGGTGCCACCCTCCTCCGCCTCCTCCTCCTCCACTTGATGCAGCCGGGGGCCGCTGGGCCTGGTGTGGGGCAGGGTGAGGCAGGGCAGGCAGCAGGGGTTCCTCTAGTGCCCCGGGGGTGCTCGCTGGTCCCCAAGTCCACAGTTGTTCCTAGGAGCTTGAGAAGGGACTGATGGGGGTGGCTGGAAGAGAGAAAAACAAGAACTCAAGGGGAGCTAAGAGACAAGCAGGCGAGAAGGGGTGAGGAAGGTACCAACAGTAAGTAGATGACAAAGTGGGCCACGGCAAACACACACACACACACACACACACACACACACACACACACACGGTGAGGCATGATGAAGATGGGGCCCATAGGAATTTGAGAGGGAATGGCGGGCAGAGAAAGTAATAGAGAAGCGCAGGGAACGGTGTATGGATGGCCCAAAGAGGAAGAAAAGCAACGCCGGGGTGGAAACAGGAGGCACCTGCCTGCCGGCTCTCTAGAGACTCGGAGAAAGGAGAAGGGAGCACGACACAGAAACCGGGAACGCGGAACCCCCGGAAGGTCGGGGCTGCGGGGAGCTTTCGCGGGAAGCAGGCCGCCTGAGTGCAAGGCCACGAGCCAGGGCAGGCGGGGAACACCGGAGTGCAGGGACAAAGAGAACAGCGAGGAAGAGCAGCCGGCGGGGCAGCGGGAGGGCCGGTGGGGTCGACCTGGCCCTACGGGAGGAAGCCTAGCGGGCCGACACACGGCCGGGCGGAAGGGAGGGCCCGTCAGGGCGACGGACCGACGGAAGGGAGCCCGGGAGGAGGGCCGGAGCCCACGGCCGGCCCCCACGCCCCTCCGCCGCGACCCGGGGGCCGCGGGCCGCCGCGGGCGACTGAGGCGGGCCCCGCCGGGCCGG